GTTAGTGGGAGATGTCAGCGTAAAATATGCAGAGAAGTTGCCGTCAACTTTGTTGAGGTCTTGAATAATTGAATTCACAGCTTGATTCAATCTCAATTTCGACTCATGCAAAATTTAGAGAGCTCTTAACATTTTTAATTGTCTTTCATTGAACTTCAATAGTATCTGGGAGCTGATGGAGGTGGATCGATGGTAAATTCGGGTCAATAGAAATTGGAGAAATTTCATCCGTTTCCGGGGATTTTGGAATTGATGATGGGATGTTTGGAGCTTGATTAATGGGTTAATCAATCAATCTATCTGATTTTTTTTGTTTTTTTGAATTTTTTAAGTGGAAAATTCTCATAAATAGGAATTTTTTTCTCCTCGAGGATCTAGACGGGAAGTCCTGCACAAAAGATTTTCTACGGAGGAACGCATGAATAATTCCAATGAATAATATAACGTGAGTGAGGCTGTATCCTTGCTGCGATTTCCGTCGTAATAATAATCGCTAGTGTTGAGGGGGTGGAAAAATGGGTGGTCGGGGGACGGGCGGGTAGGGGAGGGGGGAGGGGGTGGAATGGGATGGCGTATTATACGAGAATCGGCTCCGCATATAATATTCTGTACACTCTCTGTAGCGAGACGCATTGTGAACGCCACTAAAATATGCAAAATTTATCGGGTCGTTTGCCATCCACGCTCTCTCACACTGTTATATCCCTAGTCCAGGCATAAATTATTATCATATATATTCACGCCTGAATATAACACCAATTGTTGAAATATCATTTTCTACGGAAAAGATGGAAAATGGTTGGTAATTCAATTTTCGGTCTTCGGTGGAAGGCGATTTTTCAATTTATTTAGAAATTAAATTTATTTTCCATTGAATTTGGTTGGGACGGGTGGAAAAATAAGGAGTTAGGTGATTTTTAGTGATTTTTTGGGGGAAAAGCAGTAAATTACGATTTTATCTCGAAAAATTGTGCATTAAAAATTGAAAAATTCGGAAAAATCAAGTGTAATATGAGTTTGTTCATCTATAGATAATTGTTATCATACATATTTGATCCCTCAATTTATTTCCAAACGAAATTGATTGTCTATCGAATTATACTGGGAGAAATGGAAAAATAATTAATTAGTTGAGCTGCAGTAATGGCATTTCACCAACTCGAGACTAATTTCAATTATTTTTGTCGAAAAATTAGTAAATGACTGTTTCATCTCTAAAAATAGTGCATTAAAAAATCGAAAAATTCAATTAAATGAAGCATAACACGAGTTTATTCATCTATAAACAAAATAACAAGTGTTATAAAAATCAACACCACCCCCTCGGTGTTATTGACGCGCTGTAAAATTGACGAGGCGACAATCGAGATGGCAGCGATAAAATTCGGGTAAAGGGTACATACGGAACAATAAACATTAGCGTATTGTTCCCATTCCGACCCATCGTCACTCCTTCCTGCTTTCCCTCCCTCCGCCGCCCCGTGGGTCAGCATTTTTTTCGCATATCAATCACAAACGGAAAAAAAAAGATAAAAAAATGTCGATCAAAGCGAAATATCAAAGCCCACGTATTTTATTTCATGAAAAAAAAGAGAAAGTAAAAAATCGATACAACAGAAATTTTTGTAGTATTGGTGTTGTGCCTGTAAATTTGATACACGAGTTTCTGCACGCGATTTAAATTACACAGTGACTGAAACTCGAATGAATGACTGCCTTCGCTCGCTTATTATCTTCGGGAATTTTTTTATTATTTTTTATTTTTTAATTTTTCTCGCTAGACGGTTGAACGATAATTATTCACACGATCATGCACATTATCGCCGGTGGCCTTTGCGGTAGTGAAAGTTCGGGTATTTTATGAAGACCTTGATCTCATTTTGTTTTCGCGTTAAAATCATTTTTTGAAGGTGCGGATTTATGAAAATTATTTCAGTTGCAGTGTTAGAAAAAAAATGAAATTTCAGGGACAGTTGATTACTAATTTTCAGGACAGAGAATTCCTCGATTTATTCGAATTTCCAATCTAATGTGAATATTCAGGGCCAAATTACATTGAATTTTCAGTGAAATCTGAAATTTCATTATTTTTCCCCCTAAATCGCATTCAGTGTCACTGTCCTGAAAATTCCAAATATATTTACCGGAATTTTCTGGTTTTCTATTCATTTTCAGGGAAAATGGAGCTGAAATTGCCAGTTCTCTTTCATTTTTCCACGAAATTCTGAATTTTCAATGACTGAATTCCTCGAAATTTCAGTAGTAAAAAAGCTTATATGTTAAACATTTCAGGTTTTTGCATAAACTTAGGCCCATGAGTGACTCTAGAATTATTTTTGTCGAAGATATAATTAGACATCACATAAAAAATTGTTTGTCGTTTCGTTAAATAGAAAATTTTTTTGTTAGAAAAATAAGCGATTAATTTTTGCTTCACATTATTTCAACCAGAAATTCAAAACACGCCCCATC